TATATATATATATTACAGGGTGCGATGCATAAACTACCGTCTAAAATTACGCTAAAATGAAAGTAACATTCACATCTGATTCTAACATTTTTACAAAAATTACACAAGAATATCTTGAAATAGTAACGAGTAAAATTATTCAATAAAATCGTCATTGTCTTTAAACCCAGCCTAAAGACGACTTCGGAACCTCCTGCATCTCTTCTGGACGGTCTCCTTGTTTCAGTTGATGAATGTTGCCATAATCCTTGCCTTCACTTCATATTTGGTGTTATAAAGAGTTTTGTTTGTCTCTTGTTCAATTGCGCCCCACACGTAATAATCATGGGTGGTTGCAGTCTGGATTGTTAGGCTGGCAGATATATGGGGGTGATGCAGTCGCAGAAATTGTCAGAGCCATGACTGGGTTCCCCTGCTTATGTAGCATGGTATAGAATCCTTTTGCCAGACTTAAGGTCTTCCAGTAGCCAACGTCTTGCCCCAAGGCAGTGGATGTAGGTCTCAGTGTTGAGTCAATAAATTCGGGAGATCTTATCAGAACGACGAGTCAGTTCTCGGAGCTGCCGTACCTCCATAATCACCCTAGAACTTATCCAACTCTCCGGATCATCTGCCCTGACACCTAAAAACACTGAAATATTCGTGTTGCAGATTCCGGCGCAACTATCAAACAGTATAGCATATCGCTCCCTAATTTCTGGCGATGGAGTTTTCGCCATGGTCCTTTTTTTCACACAGACGGTAGCCAAATGACCCTTCTATACTGTACCGTCCACAAAAAGATCAAACAAGCAGACGCGAAATTAAATATATAAAAATGGCGAAAATTTACCCATAGAAGTCATGTGATCGCTTTGTATTTTTTTTTTTTTACTAAAACATTCGCATTAAAAAATTCGAAAGAGCTACTCAAGGTAGAGTAACTAAAAATGTACGGACGTTGGAGCGGATAGAAGTGCTGATAAACTGTAGTATAGGTAACTGGTTACCATAAATGTGAAAGGGTAAAATTAAGCATACACTCGTTGGAGTGAACAACATATTAGCGGCTCTTATCTGGCTGATCGAACGGTACTCCTATACCAATGGAATACAGTGGAAATGTGCCCAATTCGTCTGTGTACATGCATGGCTGTTAGCTTTAAATGTATGAACTGCTAGAACGGAGGAATCTAGTCCATCAGATCATTTTCCATGAAAATAGTTACAGAAGACTTTTGCGCGGGAAGGGTTGAACGGTGTAAAATACTCCATCCCCGACAATAGTGCAGAAACCCTTTTGAATTGTTAAGGATGGAAAGAGAAGATTGGTTAGCTCGAGTCCGGATATGGAAGTAATGCCTCAAGTGTGTACTTATCTAACACTTCTAAAAATAAAAGATGGTCTTTGTAGTCCCATACTTTCTGAGCCGATACAAAGAACCTACTATTTGTCAATCGTCTTTAGCAATGTATAAAATATAAGAGTTCCGCCTGAGGCCAGGCGGGTAAAATTGAGTTCAAAAATACGCTTAAAGCAAAATAACCGATTGTTGGGATAGACATGAATCGATTTCTGTCTGCGATTTTCCATCCCACAGAATAACTTGAGTGAATGTCTGGTCTCGTCACTGGCAGCCGTTTGATTATATTTGGTAATTGAAAACATGGAATCAGTCATTCTTTCGTAGCAGCCTCAACTGCCAGATCAGTCGTAATCGAAAGCTTTTATTAAATTTGACGATGGTCGGCAGGTACAGATTACTTTTGTGGAGGTAAGTCTAGGTTAGCGATAGGAATCTTTCTTCAGTCATGTCTGTCAGACACTTTCTACTTCAAAGGATGTTTCGCATTTATAGACTAAAAAAGGATTTGTTTCAGAATCGTGTATCCGAATTTTTCGTCGAATGCAAGGAAATATCAGGATAATGTGATAACGAATGTGTAGAGAAAAATTGATTTGCAGTTAGAGCATCATGCGATAGAATATAAAAAAAACGTAATGCTGTATTTTCCCTAATCGTTTCACCCCAAGCAAAGCAATAAAGCCACTAGGACGCAAGAGGTTACTGAATATTAGAGAATTAAAGAGAAGACAGTAAAAGAACAAAAATTAAGACGGAGGATGACGATTGATATTTTCAAAGTGGTCTGGAAAGCAAAAAGCCGAAAGAGTTCCACAAGCGAGAAGTGCGACAAACTGTTAGCATAGAACTTAGTTACATCTAGCTATTTCAAGAGTAAGTCTTGTCGCAAACCTAGTTCTGCGTTTATATTCAAAAATTCTATTTACCATAGAGAAAGGTTCTGTACTTGTTTGGCCAGGCCTTTTGCTGGGGGATGGTTTGCCATGTTACGAGTTTTCGTGTGTGACAATCAATGGTATATGCCTGTAACAATGTTTTATGACACCTGGCGATGAGAGCAGGGCTAAGGAGATTTGTCTATTCTAAGTATATTACGAAGTGAACTAAAGAAAACAGCAAAACTTATATACTGGTTCCTTTTCCATTATTTTTTTTCTTATAGAATAACATATGTAAACATCGAGGAAAAAATTAAACAATAAGCACACACACATACATATATATATATATATATATATATATATACACACACACACACGGGGGGGATAAATATTCGTACACATGAACAATTGTATTTTTATAAATGTAAAAACCTTAAAACAAATTGTTACATTTTATTAAAAAAATAGTAATAAACTTAATTCTTATTTTAACTGATGAAAAAAAGTATACGTACAAAACAGAAAAAACATTAACTTAATACTTTGTGGAATATCCTTTGAGTTCAACAGCTACCAGTCTATTCCTGTACGTCTCAAATAAGGATTTGCACATATTCAGTGGTATTTTGTCCCATTCTTCTTGGCATATCGTCTTCAAATTCTTGATATTGTTGGTGCTCTTTTCCCAATATGAATTTTCAAATATCGCCATTAATTCTTGATTGGGTTCATGTCTAGGGACTGAATTGGCCATTGCAAGACACCAAAGTTACTTTCAGCTAACCATTTTCTGGTAGATCTAGCGTTATGCTTAGGATCATTATCCAGTTGGAAAACCCAATCAGACGGTAGCTGAAGTCTCTCAACAGAACGCATTAAATTGTCTTGCAGGATTTTCTGGTATCTTTCAGCATTCCTCTTGTCATCTATTATTGATATTCTGCCAACACCTTTTGCAGAGTTTTAAAACCTTGCAATGAACGAAGCAATTGTAGTAAGAGGAATATTCAGGTTGTTAGAAATCGTTCTGTAACTGTTCCCATCTTTCCAAAGAGACAAAATGTGTTGTTTTTGTGAGATAGTCAATTCTTTACCTTTAGGCATTATTAGAACCTTCTCGTAAGACTAGAAATTGCAGAATGCTCTGATAATGGCTAATAAAGTTAACTATAATTACTGATAACATTACTCGAACATTCTAGAATATACTTTTTTCATAATTATTTTATTCTAATTTATTTGGACGGATAATTTTTTCACCAGGTAGAATTTAAAGATGCATTAATTTCTGTTAGAATAAGAATTAAGTTTATTATATATTTTGTAATAGTATGTATCTTTATACATAAAATGTGCCGAGACTAAGGCTTTTACATTTATAAAAATAAAATTTTTAAATTGTACGAATATTTATTTTCCCACACTGTGTGTGTGTGTGCATCAATCTCTTCTAATAAACAAAAAAAAAGCAAGAAAGTATAATTTAAGTCTCATATACAGTTTTCTCCAGTAGCTTACACCCGCTTGATTTTTTTAATGCTTCGTTAATTTTATCATATGGGGTACATTTAGTCGAATGATGTAAGGAAAGGTATCGAGTACTTTCTATTACAAGTAAACTGATGTATTACTGAAAATTAAACTCAAAGGATAAAGCAAACCATTCGGAAAAAAGTGAGATTCCTTTGGAATGATCTTAGCAATTCAGTCAAATCATGTACTATGTGTTCAACTATATCCTATTTCCAACCGAGTGATGGAAATGCGTATTAAATAGTCCTTCCCTAAACTATGGAATTTGCCAGATTTCAATATTAGCATATAAATCTGATTTTATTCGTTCCGAGGGTGTGCATATGAATAGAAGAAATTACGCCTACCGTGGAACCCGCAACAAGAGAAAGTGTAAAAGCGTTTTTATTGACAATGCATTGTCTTAGTTTGAGAGGCATTTTTATGTTAGGATGAAAAGCCTCTGTGTTTTGCATAGCAAACCTTTAATGCCCGATTGCTAGGTCGGCTTCTTTCGGTCGGATTGATCGATTCTATATCTCCACTCAGTCGCTCTCGCAAATACATTTTAGCTGCATACATAATTCATAGTATTTTTTATTTCTTATTGAAGATCTTTGGAAATAAAGGATATTTTAAAATGTTTATAAACTTTTGATTCACAAATGATCGCATGTGTTCATGAGATAGAGGAGAAAACAGGTAAAGCTTAAATCATTTACGTGTTATTGAACTATCATGGAAATTTCCTTGCAGACAAATCCAGTAATGTTCCTCCGGCTAAATACAATCCTGAAGACAAAACGAAAGTGAGGCTAGCAAAGACACGTCGAATGCACAAGTTTTTTTCTGCATCGATTTCGCCTACGGACGAAGTCATATTGAACGTACTGAAGAAAAAAAAATACATGGACGTAATATTGAAAATTAATCTTATGTAAAACATTTCTAGTCAGTACAAGAAGATTGTGATTCGTCATTTTGAATACAGTCAGAAACCTATCCGACTGCAATTACGCAGATAATAATTAATTGATAAAAACATTACTTCAAAGGGAATATCAGGTTGACTTTATATGAACCTAGTGAAATATGAACTGGATTTGTAAAGTCCATCTTCATTTTTCGGTTTTTAACATCTTTTTGGAATATTTTTCGGTATCAAAAATTTTTTCTGGAGACCACCCCCAAAAATTCAATCATCCTCTAATCCTCTCATTTTATATCTTCACTACTAAATACACTTTGCCAAGTGGTGACATTATTCAAAAAAGAACGAGGAAAGAACGAGGAAAGAACGAGGAAAGAACGAGGAAAGAACGAGGAAAGAACGAGGAAAGAACGAGGAAAGAACGAGGAAAGAACGAGGAAAGAACGAGGAAAGAACGAGGAAAGAACGAGGAAAGAACGAGGAAAGAACGATATAAATACGATTAAGAACGATTGCCAAGAACAGTGGTGGAAAGAACATTAAATTTACGGTATTGAACGAAAAAGAACGAACGAGGGAAAGAACGAGGAAAGAAAAAATTCGAGAAACGAGGAGAACGAGGAAAAACGAGGAAAGAACGAGAACAAAAGAACGAAAAGAACGAGGAAAGAACGAAAAGAAATGAACGGAAAGAAAATGAAAAGAACGAGGAAGAACGATGGAAAGAACGATGGAATTTGGATATCTCAGGAAAAAGAATGAGGATAAAAAATACTTCTGGAGAACGAGATAAAGTACGAGGAACGAAAAATAAGGAAAAAACGAGGAAAGAAAAGAAACGAGGAAAGAACGAGGAAAAAAGAACGAGGAAATAAAAGAACGAAATGGAAATAATCTAAATTAACTGGAAAGAACGAATCCTTTGAGGGTCGAGGAATCGAGGAAAGAACGAGGGAGTTGAGGAAAACCTGGAAAAGAACAGAACGAGGAAAATAGGAAAGAACGAGGAAAAGAACGAGGAAAGAACGAATCAGAACGTTAACGAGGAAAGAACGAGGAAAGAACGAGGAAATAGAACGAGGAAAAAACGAATTATGGAGGAAGAACCGAAAAGAACGAGGAAAAAATTCTAACTGAAATGTTGAAAAACGTGTAAATAACAAATGGAAATAATCTAAATTACTGCTATTTTATCTTTAATGCAACCTCGCAGAACATGATGTGTGTTTATGGCAGGGCTTCATGGGGATTCGGTGAATTATGTTGCTATAATGTCCCTCTATGTTCAATCGACTTAAATTCACTATATCCTATCTCATTCGGAATATTTTGCTTTAAGAGAAATGACTGACATTTATATTTGAGTCTCTTTGCAACAATTGAATTAGATTGTCATCCGTCAATTCACTTTCTATCAACTTGTTTCAAAACGTCTACAAATGTTTTTTGCATTTAATAGTCTGACATATTTATTATACGTTATCTTTAGTAACCCCTAGAAAGCTTTTATCAAATATATATATATAAAACCACCCAGCCCATATCATAAGGCATATTCCAAAAAACATTGGGTATAGACTTTCTACTAATTCCTCTAATAGGGACATTTTTGAGGCCAATAAGATAAGTTATGAAGCCCTATTTAAGAGTGGACATAATATAAATAACCACAACAGTACTCAGAATAAACATAATAGGCAAAGAAAGATTGTGTGGTTCAATTCATTCTCCTTTTAATTTAGCGGTAAAAACTAAAATTGGCAAGATATATTTTGATTTATTAGAGCAACATTTCCAAAAAAAAAAAAAAAAAAAAAAAAAAAAAAAAAAAAACTGAGTTACATAAAATATTCAACAAAAACAAAGTAAAACTTATTGTTGCATGCCGAACGTAGGGACTATAATAAATGGATTGAATAAGAAAAAAAACTAGAAATAATCCATGCAGTAATCCTCCTGCTTGTAATTGTAGAAAGAAAATCATCTGTCCATTACAGGAAAAATGTCAGCAAGAATGCGTGGTTTATCAAGTGAAAATTTACAAAAATATTGAGGATACTAACCCTAAAACATACATAGGTGCTACTCAGGATAAATTAAAAAAAAATATAACCACAAGAGTATTTTTAAAAACGAAAAAATTAAACATAGTACCACGCTATCTACTTATGTATGGAAAACCAAACAGGAAGATAATATAGACCCCATCCTTAAATGGGAAATACTAAAAAATGCCCAAAATATAAAGCAGGCCATAAATTTTGTAAATTATGTGCAGAGGAGAAATTAGCCATAACTTTATATGATCAACCTAACCAGCTATTAAACTCCAAAACTGAAATCCTTAACGTATGTAGACATAAAAAAATCTTGGCTACTAAATAAGGCGATTTCCCGTTTATTGTCATTCCACCTTGATGTTTGTTTTTTTTTTTCCCTCCCCATTTTTGTTGAATAAATATTTACCCGCTTAGGTTTGTGTTAGTGGTTCTTTGGTCACGTGGTATAATTTTAGCTATCGCCTATAAATATGCGTTTCTCTTTGCCTCGTTAGCCTTACATTACCTGACGATCCGTTTAGGTGAAACCTAGGTAGGTTTGTCTGGCTCACTAGGTGTACTTATTATATATATATATATATATATATATATATATATATATATATATATATATATATATGTATGTGTGTGTGTGTGTGCGTGCGAGAGAGAGATTTTTACAATTTGGAAGTCATTTCCTTAGGACACCGACATATGCTTTTGACTGAAATTCACCAAAATCTAAGATAAGAGAAATAACACTGCGCGATCACAGTTATTAATGCAAAAGATCTAAAATTTATCTGGACAGTTCATGATTTGCAGATGTAATACTCGACAAGGAAACAAATCAATCTGCTTGCGGAACTTGATGTCGAACATGAGGTTTCTGGACATTTAATTATCAACTAATTTTCCTTTTGTTTAAATATAGACTACTTTCCAAAAATGAACTCATTTAAAATTCATTATTTTACTGGTCAACCTGTTTTGTTAGGCTTAGATGGGAGATATATATATATATATATATATAATTATTTTATATTCTTTCAAAATTTCGAATATCTTGTCAAAAAAATTTACATTTTGTATATATTTACTGTTTTTTTTTTATGTGACCTTTTAAACATTTCAATTCTTACTTAAATTGTTTACATTATTCGGAATTATCCTCATCTTCATTGTCCTATTCACGTTTCGGCCGTTGTACGCTCCGGCCTCACTCACTGCGGCGTATGTACTTGAGGAAAAGATGTTGGTTAGATCCAGTGATTAAACCCAAACAGTTTTGAGTTCAATACCAGGCTACAGCACTCGTGAAACAAAACATGGAAAATTGAATTAAAAAGTAAATAACTCCAGACATCCCAAGAAGCATTGCACGTGGAACTAGAAAAATCTACCCCGGTGGATGAAATAATGTGTTCGGTTCGAAACTATAATCACCTGAAAAAGGCCGGAGCGTGCAACTACCGAAACTTTGTGAATATGGCAATAAAGACGAGGAATAATGTAAGCAAGTCCGAAAGAATGTAAGTAATAATAATAATAATACCTCATCTCAGATATATAGACATATATTTTAATTCTTGTTGACTTCAGCGCGTTCATTTAGTATATTTCTTTAAACATTTTCGAATATTCCACTACCGAGACAAAAAAGAAACAAAAAGAACACTTGATACTTAATATTCAGTCATTCAGTTATCTCTTGCTCTTGTGGCATTCAAATGTTTGTAGAATGCTAAAATGATTGTTCGTTCCGATTCAAGCGATACTATAGATTTTCAGAACTAACTGTGATATAAAATGAAAACTGATCTATTATGAATAGCAATAAACTTTTATAATTCTAGAAAGTAACGACTGTCATAAAAATTACATTTGTTTCGGGAGTGACTGGTAAAAATGGTTTTAGTAGGTGTGATTTTTAGTATTATTGCAAGTATGTGAATAAGAGCGTGTTGACGAGAGAAATTAATAAATCACCGTTATGCATGTTTCAGAAACATTTTAATACAATTTCTGTTGCGATCTTTTTATAACAAGTGATACGCCGAGGTTACAGTGTGTTGTCAGATGTTCTAACCGAAAATACTGATTTCAGCTGAAATGTGTTTCAATGAGATTCTAAGCAATACAGTAGTTGTTAAAATAGATTAAAATTAATACGTTTAAGTATATACTCAAAGGAAGTTGTACTTGGGAAAACATTACATCCGAAACTACTCTCATCTTTTCTCGTCTCTGTCAGCATCCATTTAAAAATACATAAACAATTCAAGTCTTTCTTAGGTTGCTAATTATATAATTCTGTGCGAAGGAAAGAGCATTACTGCGCATGCACTAATATCTCCGAAAACTTTCTCAATTACAAATGGCCGAACAAAAATTTAACATTTACATTATTCGGACTATTTAACATTTACATTATTCGGACTATTGTCGCTCACTGGGGTAGACTGTTCTAGTTCCACGTGCCATGTTTAATGATGTCAGTTATCAGTTACCTCCTGTTAATTCCCCTCTCCAAGTTCTCCACTGTCTTAACCGGATATTGAATTCAGTCTTTGGGGCTTGTTACTGGTTCTAACTTACGCCTTTATCCACTGTGCCATGTGTCCCTGAGGACGTTGTAATAAATATGGCGACAAAGATGAGGACAATAGTCAGAATACTGTAAACAGTGTACATAATACGTCATCTCAAATATAGACATACACAAAAATTTAACATTTATATAAATACTTTCCGGGCAAAATAGCCGTGTCTTTAGAATAAAATAATTTCAATCTTGATATATGGCATAAAAAAAAAAAAAAACAAAAAAAACTAAACTGTGTAAACTAAACTATACTGCTTAGTATTGTCTCCATGGTGTTTTTCCTTGCTTTAACAGCCATCTGTAAAAATTAATGCAGAAGTATTCGGCCTATTTATGTGAATTCCAACTACTACTATTCTAAGTTTTACTGGATTGAGACTGACTAAAATTGGTATATTGTTTTGTCACTTTACAAACAACCATTTTTTTTTTGTTAGTATGTTGAATGTTAGACATGAAGATAAACACATCAGGAGTCCAGTTACGCAAAGTTGAAGTTGGAGTAGCCACAGAAGCTGTTAGCCTGATGGACCCTATCTCTTTATAGGCTGGTATAGAATTCTTGATTAACTTTCTGCTCGACTCGTTGTGACCTCAAAGCCAGATCCCACTCATCATTGATATTTAATGTGGAAGATTAAAGCGTATGGTCCGTACTTGTTCCCAGATGATTTGTTTTAGCAAGTTGGATATTATACAACTCTTCAGAAAAAAATCTCAAGAGTCCAGTTACCCAACAATGAAGTTGGAGTATCCATACCTACACCAGTCAATGACGATGTGTTGCCGCTAGGGAAAATTGCCTGAGAGATTCTATCTCTCTACAGACTGATATAAAATTCTTGAATCCCTCTCTGGCCGATTGGTTGTGAACTTAAAACAAGAGAGCCCACTCAATATTGCTATTTAATCTAGAAGATTAAAGCGTTTGGTCCGTATCTGTCCCCAGATTTGTTTATGCGAATGTGAAAGTAGTAGTCGGTTAAACTAACCACATATGTTATAAATATACAATGTTATATTATGTAAGATATTACAATCAAAAAGATATCTGAAAAGTAGGTAATATATGAAGGTATATATTGAAACGGACATACGTACCCCACATGACTAGGCACGTGCAAAATTTGTGAAATGGCTAACATTCTTTTGCCATGAGGAATGATCACAGACGCATTGAACTCTTTCCAAAACTCTTGAATAATTTATTTCAACTTTCCACTTATAAATGATCACGCGCAAATGAATCTAAGCAGAAATTACTTTCTGGAATAAGCTCCCGAGATGATATTTCCCTGCCAGCAACAATTTTATCAAGCGGTATCTATCTCGTATGTCCTAATAATACGCACTTAATCACTACTTCCGCCACCCTCACATGATTCTCGGTCAGTAATAACACTGAGGGTACCTTGTGATATGTACTGTGCTAGATAGCTATAAGAGGAATCATATCACTTCAATATGATTTATAAGATTAATTTCCTTTTCCATTAATACATTTTCTCTTTATAATATTAAACACAGCTTTCATTATATTTTAGCACCATTTGAATTGTGCACCATGTTCCATTATCTGTTAATACACTAACTCACTAGTTAACTTTCTGATCGTTCATGTTTTCCATTAATAGTTTGTCTAAGCGTAATTTCAGTTTGCTTTCTGTGTCAACAATCAACACAGTGTTATCTGTTGTAGTTTAAACTTTGCGATAATAAATCCTCGTGGGTTTTGCGATTCTTTTACGAACATTTTATTGTGGACGTTTCATACAAAGCGTGATATAGCAAATCATACGCGCCGCATTATATTTCTATAACTTTATTAATTTTGTAGTATACCGTATAAAAGATATGAAAATACATTCGGCAAAAGTATATGAAATCTGGTGTAGATTATAGCAAACAAGAAGGAACTGAAAATCAAAGAAATTCATAGATTAATGTATATATAAATACAGATACATACATGGATAATAAGAATACATGATTGTTGGGATTAACTTCAGGCAAAAAAAAAAAAAAAAAAATAATATCTCACTCTTATATAACAAAGGGACAATCACAAAAAACCCAAAGTCACATCTGGTCTGGTGGTTATATGTATTTAATTTTTTTAAAAATAAAATCTACAGAATCAGTAATGTTCTGAGTCCTTATATGATATTTCCTGTTTCAGTTACTTTACCATCATCGTAACAGGTATTGTGCTTTTCTATAAATAATTTTCATGGTAATTATTCTGATGAACTTTCATCTTTGCTAGCTCGACATTATGAATTTAAGTGCAGTGTTAGTTTGACGGCAAAGTCATTTTACAGTTGAAATAAATGAATATTTCAGTATACTATATGCTAAGAGTCTTCTAGAAGACCTCATGCTTGTGGAACACTTCAGGTTTCTTACTTTTCAGTCGACTTTGGTCCTCAAGAATTTCAATACAATCCCAAACGTTATCGTCTTTCTGTCCTTTTGATTATCTCAATGTGTTTTTTTCGTCATTCTTTCACATTCAGGAATCCCTTTCGTTTTTAGATACTTTGAATTACCACAGGTGAAATAAGAAAAAAAAAACTGTTTGGGACAGAATAAAACCAACTACCCATGAATGAATGATTACACATAAAACAAAACATCTAGAGATGAATAGCCCACACTCCTGTACAGAATCAAACAATACTTATTCGTGTGAGGTTATCGTTTTAAAGGATAACACGAAAGCAAATAACTCATCCGTGGAATGATTGTATATCGACATGATATTTTCTATTAAGATCGGCTTGAGGTTTTAGACCACTTTTTGGGCTTTCAACGAAAGTGGATTATTCTCTTGAGAGGTCTTTCTCCCTCTCGGTTGTGACGGTTAAATCTTTCCTTCATCCGTTTGCCAACGAATGCACATTCTGAAGGCAGCTGGATTATCCCGTTTACGTAACGCGCACAGCCACTGACATGTTAGGTGCGATTCTGCACCTAGAGGAAAAACAATCTGATGCACCTGGCTGTTATACTGTGGTGAAATAGTGAGGGCAAATCCCATTTTAATATCAGCTGAGAGAGCAGAGTAAATATTGATGTCGTCACAAATTCACATACCTTAGAAATAATATTCTTATTTTAATAATATTCACCCATTACAAGGTCCAAGAGCCACTCCAAATGTAGGGCTATTTTGCGGAGTTAAATTAAAGTATGAAAGGACATGTTAGAATAAATCTGAAGTAAACTCAAGAGATCAGAAACTTATCCCTAAACAGGAAACGAGGGCAAAACCTCAAATCTTTTTTCAACAGACCAGAGATGTGTGTGAACCAGACGATAGGCGAATATCTACTATTAACAGAATTCTACTCGCATCACTTGGTATTACGTGGTCTTAATCCCAGTTGACATTTAAACTAATATTCCATGCGATAAATAGTTACATATTTGATCTACAAAGTTCACATTGGCCAGGTTTAAGTTAAAACAGCGATGACGACAGACATAAAACAAAGTAAATATATTTAGACTAATGAAATTTAGTAACAGCTTGAATACACGAACAAAATTTTTTCAGCTCTGATAAGTTCTGAATACTTGAATATAAATTATTTTCCATTTTTCGATGACTTTCTCACCACGCATATTTTGAGCCACGTGCAAATCCGAATCGTCGTACCTCGTCTTCAAAGCAGTACATAATTCATACATTTGTCTTGAATTTATTTTCACGATGACAAGTTCAATTAATCTTTAAGCCCATGTTCGGAAAAAAATTCTAAATAGCCAAGTTTCGCCAAATTGACATTACACTCTATAAAGCAATTCAAGATGGTTTATGATATTAATTATATTTTAGTTGCCGTCCTACATGTTTTACAAGATGGGCAATATAGTGTGTAAAAAAGTGGAACTGATTACTCAGAATTCAGTCAGAATCTGAAATCATAGTGAATTAATGTTAAGAGAATAAAGAATATATTTTACATCGTTATTCTTGAAGGCTATATATCATGGAGAATTCTACTGCGAAAAATAATTTTAATTTTGTTAAATACCATTTAAACAAGAACAAAAAATATTTTTTGGAAAGGCCGTGTGGTATGAATAAAGCTTAATTACTCAAGTAATTCAAGCAAACAATAAGTCTGATGTAAAATGATCAAAACGTACTTGAAACAGCTCACCATCCCGGCCTTGAATAACAGAGGTCCTATTTTATCATGGGTTTGCTGTAGTAAAAAAGAAAGTCATTTGTTAGGGGCTAGCATGACAATCTTTTTTGGATATGATTACGTGGATTATGAGCTACTCGACACTAAATCCGTGTACGAGTAGAAACTGGTTTTCTCCGCCCAAATTATTGGAAACCTAACTCCAAGAGGGTTACTGGATGGATGGAAAAAGGAAACGATTGACTAACTGCCTTCGCAATCACCTGACATAAGTTATGGTGAATATTCCTGATGATAATTAAAAATTAGTAATTTTAAAAGCATATTTGATGAAATGGAGAAAATTCTATCAAAACATGGCAGAACATCACTTGAAATTGTAAACTTTACTTGCAGGAAAAGGTTTTATACTAGATTATGGTGTTCACTTTGTGGAAAAGTCATAACATTGTAACACATTTTAGTTGTGCAATTTTAAATTAATTCTTCAATAAAACAATTCGTGTTTACGTTTTTTTTATCTATCAGTATATTTTTTATTGTACAGAAATTGAAAATAATTTAAAGGATGCAATGTGCAATTTCCCCCATAGGAAAACGAGCTGAAGTTATTTATGTGTTAGCTGTAGGTTGTGGTGAATTCGTACATGAATGGATGCGAGCAATATTTTATTTCTATTTATTGTGTACGCATGATATATATATATATATATATATATATATATATATATATATATAAAGGTTGTTTCAATTTTGGAACAGCGGTATTGCACTCGACATGGAAGTTGGGGTTTAACATGAAATAAGTGTTTTCTAACTAGATATCACTGAGGAAATTATTTTAAACATTAAGTTAGGTTTATAATCGCTGTGTTGGAATTTGATTCCGGTGATCAATGAAATACTTATAGCACAGCCTTATAAAATTCTATATGGATAAGCTGCAAGGCACACGCACATTATGACTAATCATTGTGCCATCAAATAAAACCCATTGACTTCAAAGAGTAATTGCACTGTACGATTCCAGTTATATCACGATGTAATATATTGTACATAACGGCTTTAGTGCGATTTTCAATAAGCTATTCAAATTTAAAGTATCTTTTGTTACAATTTGTGCACATCTGTATTATGCTGTTATAAAGACTTTTTTTGGTTTTTATTAATTATAACATCTTATTCAATGGGTACCATTTTTGTACACTTTACTTTTCGAATACAGGTTGAAAATGCATAATTTGATTTTGGTGATTTATAATTAGAATTCTGGTTTGAATATATTTCCCATTCAATGTACCTAATACAAAAATATACCAACTTTATTTTGATTTCTTCTTGAAATAGTAAAATTGTGATGTCAATTTGTAAGCCAAAAATCTAAGGAGATTAGCTAGTCCTGTAATTTTTTTTCAGAAAACTAAAATGCTCAAAAATGGGTAAAAGCTATGACTAGTTTTCGTGTCTATTTTAAAACTCAGCTTTCTCAGTAATGTTCATTTTTTTTTAAATTGAAAAGTCAACATACTATATTGTTTGAGTGTCCCATCATCTAACTACCACCCCTCAAGATAAACGGATGGGATGTCCCCTTGAAACAACTCATCTATTTTCAAATGAGTTTCTTATATACGATACAATCCTAAAAGATGCATGCAAAATGTTCGGCTCCCTGCATCGCTACAGTAAGTACCTACCTTCTTATGCTATCCTCTAACTTTACAAGAATAAGCCCAAAATGGAGTACGGTCGTCATATTTAGACGAGGCAGGAGCTGGACAAACCTCACTCTCCACCTTTGATAGAGTCCAAAAGCGTCTCCGAATCATTACGTGTGACAAATTATTCTCTACCCCCAAAGCTCTCACCTGCAAGTGATATGTGGCAAAGTTCTCACGATTATTTCTACTTCCATGGAAAGTGCTCAGACGAAATAATTTACCTGATCCCACCAGTTCAGACTTCACTACAAGAACACCTGATGTCATTTATATAGTAGCAAAACACACACATTCCCTCCATATTTCATTGGAGTGAATTAAGTTCCAATCGAACAGCTTCTTCCCGGGAATCGAATTGCCTTAGGTCTTGCTGAACGTTACTGTACGTTTATATGTACATGTCTCTGAAGATGCGTGCGTGTTATTTACGCACGTCCACATTTCTCGCCCGATTTCGATGAAATTGTTCACATGTTTTAAATATAGCAAAATAGGTCAAAACAAATTTTTACAATTTCCAGGCTCCCTCGAGTTCGGCAGAAATATCGATAAAACTGACAGTGAGTATGACTTTTTGCCATAAACCAGGCAAAATTATACGAGAACAAACTTTTTTCTGGATGTGATGATGTTTTTGCACTTGATGCAAAACATAGCTCATTTTACGAGGTTTAGAGTGATTGATAGTTTTCCTGCGACTTAGCGCAAAAAATTGAAACAACCTGAAAAATCAGATTTTTCGTATTACTTCTAATAAAAATTTGAATAACTTAATGTTTCATCCGATTTTCTTTAAACATCTCGCAAAATACTGCCAGTATGCAAGAAATAAGAAAGTGGCTTTATTCCTGCTCACGTCCGCGCGTATAACGAAAAACCACGGAAATCTGTTCAGCTGTTTTCAGCCTTAAATCCCGAGTTTTTCATCCAAAGCTTTCCAAATTTGTCATGTAAATTACATCGGATACTCTAGTTGTCTTGCGTGAAA